GATATTGTGACTAAAGTTCTCACAGTAGGAAAATGTCAATTATTCATCCACTTAACTGAATTTGAGGCAACCACTGAAACACCATTATGAAGCAGTATTATTAATTTTAGGATGAGGCAGTAAGGTAAAAACAAGTGTAACAGGAATGAAAACCCAGGGTATAAGAAGCATGGCCATAATTTAGTTACAACTGTGTGAACACAGAAAACAGCTAACAAAGGGGCAACCGTTGGGTAATCTTTTTCCTTATTTTCAAAATATTCTATAACATGGCTCTTTACTTTTATAATTTACAAATAAATTTAACACCTTAAGTAACCTGGTGACATGATGCCTTTTTCAGTAGGACAAGCAGAGATTGCTAAAGGCAATGGTCAGAACATATGTATCTCGGGATGGCAGCAGGGCTAGTACCAAGCAATAGGAATCGCATTGAAAGTCACACGCATATGATCACAGTCAATGTGGGCCTGGACAAGAACGACCTGGGTTTAATTTCCCACCGTTGGTCTGCGTCACTTCAGCGTGGAAGCCGTGGTCTCCTTGGTCATGGTCCACACTGACGTGAAGCAGCAGGAGTACCTGGTCCTGGTGGGACTCAACATGGCAATTTCAAGGTGCCTTATAACAGAGCAGTTGTCACTTGGCATAGTTCTCCTTAAATTTAAATTTGAATATTTGTCCACTTTAGGAATTTCTTACATGGAGGGGATGATTCTTGTACAGCATAGTATATCTTCAAATTTCTTTTCCCACACAACTCATTAGATACTCAGTGAGTAGGAAGTATTAACTTTATCAAAAGTAGGATTAAGTATTTTAAAGAATCTAAAGTCTTAATAAAGTGAAATATCGACCAGTCACATAATTTTCACTAGTGATATGTGTTGATTAACATTTTAAGGTCTCAAGTCCAGAAGCATACTTTCTCTAGAACCCAGTGGTAACTAGGAATACCTCATTTTCAAAAGGAATGTATTGGTTAGCATGCCTTCACAGTTATCCTAGTTCCAAGCTTTAGGATTTAAAGTTTCACACACACACACACATATATATATATGGGGTTTTGTTTTTCATTTTTTGTTTTTTTTTTTTTTTTTTGGTTGGGTTTCTCTTTTTTTCCTTGGTTTGTGTGCAATGGCACGATCTCAACTCACTGCAAACTCCACCTCCCAGGTTCAAGTGATTCTCCTACCTCAGCCTCCTAAGTAGCTGGGATTACAGATCCTACCACCACACCCAGCTAGCTTTTGTATTTTTAGGAGAGATGAGGTTTCACCATGTCAATCAGGCTGGTCTCAAAATCCTGACCTCAACTCACCCGCCTCCGCCTCCTAAAGTGCTGACCTGGCCTTCACTTATATATTTATTCATGCCTTCAGCAAATATTTATTGAGTTCTTATTACTCTAGACTCAGCATATACCAGGGAACAAATTAGAGAAATTTTTGACCTTCATGGAATTTGTATTTGGGATCTGAATTATTCTAATGGAAATTGCAAGCCATTGGAGAGTTTTAAACAGGGCCATGCAATACCTGTGCAAGGATACCAGGTAGCCTGAACTTGCAATGCAGAACCCCTGAGGAGGAACTGCACCTGGCCTGTTGGAGGAGCTGTAGAGTCCAGAGTGCTAGAGAGCACACAGGTGTATTAGTCCACTAGGGTTGCCGTAGCAAAGTACCACAAACTGACTGGCTTAACAGAAACGTATTGTCTCACCGTTCTGGAATCTGGAAGTCCAGGATCAAAATGTCTGTAGGGCCATGCTCCCTCTGAAAGTGTAGGGAAGGATCCATTCCAGGCCTGTCTCACGGGCTTGGTGGTTCTTGGCTGTGGCAGCATCACTGCAGTTTTCCTGAGACGCTCTCCCTGTGTCGTGTCTGTGTCAAATTTACCCTTTTTACAAGATACCAGTCCTAATGGATTAGGGGACCCGTCCTACTCCAGTATGACCTCATCTTAACTAATCACATCTGCAACAACCTTATTTCCAAATAAGGTCACATTCTGAGATATTGGGGATTAGGACCTCAAAACATGAACTTGGAAGCTAGGGAACAGTTCAGCTCACAAAAACAGGAAAGCAGTAAAAGAAGAAAAGTCAAAGATAGGAGCGAGGTGGTAGCCAGACTAGATAAGGCCTTGCAGGTCATGTGAGTGTCTCAATTATTCTAATGGAAATTGGAAGCCATTGGAGGGTTTTAAACAGCAGAACAGGCTGGGCGTGGTGGCTCACACCTGTAATTCCAGCACTTTGAGAGGCCAGGGTGGGCAGATCATAAGGTCAGGAGTTCCAGACCAGCCTGGTCAACTTAGTGAAAGCCCATCTCTACTAAAAATACACACACACACACACACACAAAGTAGCCAGGCATGGTGGTGCACACCTGCAGTCCCAGCTACTCGGGAGGCTGAGGCAGGAAAACTGCTTGAACCCGGGAGGCGGAGGTTGCAGTGAGCAGAGATCGTGCCACTGCACTCCAGCTTGGGTGACAGATTGAGACTCCATCTCTAAGTAAATAAATAGCAAAATAGCATGGGCTGACTTGGATTTCAAAAGAGCACTCTGACTCCAGCATAGAGAATGGGTCAGAATGAACAGGGTAGAAGCTGGAAGACCATGAAGGAATCTCTGTTTTAACTAGTGTGATCAGGAAAGAACTCCGATGTCGTGGCGTTTAAGGCAAGACCGAAATAAAGTAGAGGGCAATTCACAGAGGTATCTGAGGAGAGACGCATAACTATTTTTTCAAGAAAACAACTGAACATAAAAAGGCCTCTCAATGAATTTAACGTAAAATAAGTATTACATGCCTCCTCCTTTCATATAGTTTGAATGTAACTCATCTGATTTCTTGTTTTTAGTATGATTTGGCCAATTTGCTTTTTCTTTCCTTATTCCTGCTTTCAGATTTTTTATTTCCATTTCCGTTCATGTGCTTCTTGTAAACGACTTCGTGCCTTTTTTAAATTTGGAATTTAGAACTGAAATTGAAATTTTCAGTACTAACCTGCAATATGGTCATAATTTCAGTACCACTTAGTACTTAAAGAGCTAGATTGCCCAGATACTACAATGATGTGTTCATCAGAGTCACTGAAAAAGCAATCAAAATTAGAACCTAATAGAGTTACTCAATGACTTTCCATTTAAGAAAGAAACTAAGTAAAGGGAAAATAGGCAGGTTGCGGTTGCTTGTGCCTATAATCCCAGCACTTTGGGAGGCCAAAGCAGGCAGATCACTTGAGTTCAGGAGCTCGAGGCCAGCCTGGCCAACATGGGAAAACCCTGTCTCTACCAAAAAAAAAAAAATACAAAAATTAGCTGAGTGTGGTGGTGTGCACCTGTGGTCCCACCTACACAGGAGGCTGAGGTGGGAGGATCACTTGAGCCCGGGAAGCAGAGGTTGCAGTGAACCGAGATCGCACCAGTGCACTCAAAGAGAAACTGTCTCAAAAAAAAAAGAAAAAGAAAAAGAAAAACATTTCTCACTACACTTCAGCTCTACTGAAACCTAATTTGAATGCTCAGAACTTTCAATGCTCTTCATACTTGTGGCATTGCAGCTACCTGCCAGCCTCAGTTTACAAAGATTTGCCACAGGATCTTATTTTCCAAGGTTCCCGAAATCCTGTCTGAATCATCTTGAAAAGGAAGCAGCAAAATAGTAGGGGCCTTGGAATTCCCTAGACACCTAAACCACCACCTTCTAGCAATGTAATAAGTAGGAAAGGCTTAAGAAAAAAGAAAAAAAAGGGAGAGGAAGGGAGGATGGATCTGCATACACCTCAACCTAGAAATATCAGTTCTAGAGGTTTGCCTTAAGGAAATTTTTTTTTTTTTTTTTTTTTTTTTTTGAGACAGAGCTTCACTCTTATTGCCCAGACTCGAGTGCAGTGGCCTGATCTCGGCTCACTGCAACCTCCACCTCCCAGGTTCAAGCAATTCCCCTGCCTCAGCCCCTCGAGTGGGGGATTACAGGCACTTGCCACCACGCCGGCTAATTTTTTTTGTATTTTTAGTAGAGACGAGGTTTCACCATGTTGGCCAGGCTGGTCTCAAACTCCTGACCTCAGGTGATCCACCAGCCTTGGCCTCCCAAAGTGCTGGGATTACAGGCGAATTGTAAACTGTAAATGGGTGGATTTTATGGTATGTGAATTACGTCTCAATAAAGATGTTTTTTAAAAAAGATTACCATAAAAACATAAACTGCTTGATTGATTAAACATGACCTGACGAAAACTGTAAAATAGTAGCCCATGATGTGGTTAGAAAACATATTTGCATCGTATGCAAATATGTTTGACATGAGAACACATTCAAAAAATATGAGGCCAAAGAGTCTTTCTAAAGCAGTTTGTGCAATGCAATCCCATTTTTATTTGCTAACAGAAGGGTATGTTTATTCAAACTGTATGTACGGACGCCCACATTGCCGGGGATAGTCCTGAGTGTTCGTGACCTATCAGTGAATAGATCCTTGTTATCATGAAGCCTACATCTGAGTATGGGGAAACCCCTTAAGTAAGAAGCATAACAGGCCGGGCACCGTGGCTCATGCTTGTAATCCTAGCACTTTGGGAGGCCACAGTGGGTGGATCACCTGAGGCCAGGAGTTCAAGACCAGCCTGGCCAATATGGCGAAAACCAGTCTCTACTAAAAATACAAAAATTAGCCAGGGATGGTGGCATGCACCTGTAGTGCCAGCTACTCATGAGGGTGAGGCAGGAGAGTCACTTGAACCCAGGAAGCGGAGGTTGCAGCGAACCGAGATCACATCACTGCACTCCAGCCTGGGCGACAGAGCGAGACTCTGTCTCAAAAAAAAAAAAAAAAGTGATAAGCATAATAAATGAGTACACTGCACAGTATGTTAGAGGTGTAAAAGGATCATGGGTTGGAAAGGGTAAAGAAGAGGGGCTGGAGTGCAGGGGTGGGGTGCATGTTGCAGTGTTCACTGGGGTGGTCGCTTGTCCTCACTGAGAAAGTGAGGTGAGCAAACACTCAAGGCAAGCGGTGACTGGAGGAGGAGCCATGCCCCACAGCGAGTCTGGGCCCTCTCAACTCAGGATCCCAGGACCAGGCAGAAAACCAGCAAGGCAGCAGCAGAGAAAACCAGGCGTGTGCAGGCCTGCCGCACTTCACTGAGCTTTGCTTTCTGACTTTCCAGAGACTGCATTTCTTACAAAGGGAAGGTTTGTGGCAACCTTCTGCGTCAGCGCTATTTTTCCAACCGCAGGCCTTCGCTTTGTGTCTCTGTGTCACATTTGGGTAATTCTTACAATATTTCACTGTGTAATTAGTATGATATAGGTCATGCGTATCGATAATTATCTTTGACATGACTATTGTAATTTGGGTGAGGGGGGGTGCCATGAACTGTGCCCCTGTAAGACAGCAAACTTCATCAATAAATACTGTGACTGTTCCGTAGACTGGCCATTTTCCCATCTCTCTCCTCAGGCCTCCCTATTCCCTGAGACACAACAATATTGAAATTAGGCCAATTAAGAACGCTGCAATACCAGCCAGGCATACTGGCTCACGCCTGTAATCCTAGCACTTTGGGAGGCTGAGGCGGGTGGATCACTGGAAGCCAGGAGTTCCAGACCAGCCTGGTCAACATGGTGAAACCCCATCTCTCCTAAAAATACAAATTGCTCCTAAAAATACAAACAAACAAACAAAATACCTAGCCAGACATGGTGGCACATACCCTGAATAGTAATTCCAGCTACTCAGGAGGCTGAGGCAGGAGAATCGCTTGAACCTGGGAGGTGGAGGTTGCAGTGAGCTGAGATTGTGCCACGGCACTCCACCCTGGGTGACACACTGAGACTCCGCCCCCAAAAAAAAAAAAAAAAAATCCTACAATAGCCTGTAATCCCAACACTTTAAGATGCTGAGGCAGGCAGATCGCTTGAGTCCAGAAGTTCAAGACCAGCTTGGGCAACATGGAGAAACCCCGTCTCTACAAAACTACAAAAATTAGCATGCTGGTGCACACCTGTAGTCCCAGCTACTTGGGAGGATGAGGTGAAAGAATCACCTGAGCCCAGGAAGTGGCGGCTTCAGTGAGCCAAGATTGTGCCACCATACTCTCTAGCCTGGGCGATGGAGCAAGACCCTGTCTTTAAAAAAAAAACAGAATCTTACAATAGCCTCTAAGTGTTCAACTGAAAGGAAGAATCTCAAGTCTCTCACTTTAAATCAAAAGCTGGAAATAATTAGGCTTAGTGAGAAAGGCATGTTGAAAGCCGAGATACGCAGAAATCTAGGCCTCTTCACCAAGCAGCTAGCAAGCTCCCAGAACCTCAGTTTCCTCCTCATTTGTAAAATGGGGCAAATCTGCTTCCAGTTGTTTTGAACATTAACTTAGGTAATGCATGCAAAGCACATAGCGTCACTGTTATTTGTGAGACTTAGAAGATTCTGCCATCCATGTCTATTACCGCAGTTAGAAAGTTCACTGAGATATGATGGTATGACTTTCTCCCCCATCTATATCGCCAAATCCATTTTTAATTCTCGTTTTCCTTTCTCGTGGACTTTGAAGACCTCGTTCCTTGGCAGACAGACTTTGCAATCCCAGGGACTCTGAGTTTCACGCATCGCCATTAGCACCACAGAATTCATCTGGAGGCTGGGGAGAGATGCCCGGGAGTCCTCCAAACATTTGAAGCTTCTCCAGCTTCGCTTGTCTGTTTCTTACTTGGTCTGTGCTCATTCCGCCTCACTTTGTATTTGCTAGATGAAGGGGATAATGATTATGACTGTTTCCGTAAGCAAGAGCAAGGGAGGCAATTAGTTCAATAAATGTTAATTAAGTGCTAACTATATGCAGCTACTGTGAGAGGTGCTGGAAATACAAGATCAGGAAAAGAACCCCTGTCCAGAAGAAGTTCACAAAAATCTCTTAACTCTTTGCATCCCAACAACAAGGTAACTTTCTGGCCATTACAGAATGTCACATTTGAATTTCCCAAGATTTCCTTTATAACTTTCTTGTTCTTGCAAACTTCACGTGCCTGAAATTTCTCATGTTTGCCTTTTTTTCCTCAATCAAGTTGACAGATACCTCTGCTGGCTAGGTCTCTTGGCGATCCTGAATAAACTGTGTTCGTGGTGCAAATTAAGCATGTAGAAAGCACATTCATCTTTTTAAATGCAGTGTCTAGCAAGTTCTTGCTACCTGGAAAGTGTTCCGTAAATATTTGTTTTAATCGGGAAAAGGGTTTTCAAGTTGTCAGGGTACAATTTAATTTCAACATGCTCTGTAAGCTTGAGAAGAGCAGACAGGATGTGCATAATTTGGTTTTCTTGGGAAAAAGGAGAAGGGGGAGCAACGTCTAGGAACTGAAATTGACACTCAAGGACTTGCATCTGCACTTCCTGTTTCTTGGACCTGAGCCTCTTGGAACTCAGCGTCAGCCTCAGATCAGGGCAGGTTGGTGGTTGAAGCATTTAGGGAAGGATGTTTATAACAACTTATTTTTCACTTATTATAGAAGGAGTGCATGCTCATGATGACCAAAATGAGTCATTGAGGTAGCCAGGGGTAGACCAGGCCTTCAAACTCAGCTTGTCTGTCCCCTAGAGCAGGGGTTCCCAACCCCCAGTCCATGGCCCATTAGGAACTGGGCCACACAGCAGAAGGTGAGCTCCAGCTGTATTGACAGCCACTCCGGTCACTTGCATTACAGCCTGAGGTCCGCCTCCTGCCAGATCAGCTGCAAGATTAGATGCTTAGGAGCGCTAACCCTATCGTGAACTGTGCATGCAAGGGATCTAGGTTGCATGCACCTTATGAGAATCTAATGCCTGATGATCTGTCTCTGTCTCCCCTCTCCCCCAGATGGAACCGTCTAGTTGCAGGAAAACAAGCTCAGGGCTCCCAGATTCTCCATTATGGTGACTTGTGTAAATTTTCATTCTTTATTACAATGTCATCATAATAGAAATAAAGTGCACGATCAATGTAATAAGCTTGAATCATCCCCAAACCATCCCCCCCCCCACCCCGGTTCCTGGAAAAATTGCCTTTCACAAAACCAGTCCCTCGTGCCAAAAAGGTTGGGAACTGCTGCCCCAGAGTCATGATATAAGACTGTGTCACCTTAGGGATAGCTAAGGATCGCCTGAGTGATGGGTGACCGCAAGGCTGGGCTCAGAGCCAGTGAGAGGAGTGGGAGACGTCTTCGCACTGGGGTTCCAGAAGAGGACAAAGTGGCGTTGCCAGTATGTTTGTGAGATGTCGTCAGAAAAAGACAAGGTAGAGGAGGGCAGCTATGCAGCAGGTTCAGCAACACTTAGAGGCCCCTCATCTGCCGACAGATGCTTGGCTCACACTGCTCAGCAGAAAGCAGCCTGCATGCAACTTAGCTTCTAGGTTGCATCTTTCAAAGACTCAGAAATATACAGCCATAGATTTGTTATCAACAGCCATCAAGAGGGAAGGATAAACACGAAAGGTTTGTGGGAATCATAATCATTAGGATGTTCAAGCATCAATAATTTGTGACAACCTAGGACATCTCAAAAGTCTCTATGTTGGATTGCTTCGAATTGTATTTATTACATCCTATGCGATAGCGAAAAACAAGTTTGAAAAGTAAAGGAAGCAACAAATCTTGACCAGCAGGCGGCAGTCTTACCTCATATAATGTCTTTAAAAGCTTGCAGAAAGAACTATAGTAAATTATTTTATTCTGTGTGATATCTTAACAGAAATCTAAATATAAAACTCATATTTAGAATGAATTATAAATTCAATATTATTTAATCATACCATGGCCTGGAGTTCCATGACTAATGTTAACTAAACTGTTCATTCAACTAACTGCAAAAATACAAGATAATACGTGGTTATTAAGTGAATTTATCATCAAGACATATTTCAGCACACTAGATAGAAAAGCATAATGTCTAGACTACTCTAAGTCATGGGAGGCAAATATAGTTAAATATCAGTTTTCCAATTAAGATATTTAATATATTTTACCTTCCTATGCCAGGCCTATATAATTTTATATTACATACCTTGGAAATCTCATTAACGTTTTTAGTGTATAAGTTTTCATTCACTCTGAAGAAAGATTATTTTCAATGTTTTAGAAAGGTTAATATATGGTTGTAATTTTTATCACATTTAAAAGCATATTTCACACACTCAGTCCACTTTGTGTTGCTATCACAGAATGCCACAGGCTAGGTAATTTATAAGGAAAGGAAGTTTATTTGGCCCATGATTCTGGAGTCCCGGAAGTCCAAGTGCATAATGCTGGTGTCTGGTAAAGACATTAGTGCTGCATCGCTCCATGGCGGGAGGCAGAAGGGAAAGAGAGGGTGAGAGCAAGAGTGGGTCAAACTCGCTTTTATAACAAACCCACTCCTACAATAGCAACATTCATCTATTCGTGAGGGCAGAGCCCTCGTGGCCTAAACACATCTTAACGGCCCCACTTCTTCCACCTGTCATAATGGCAATTAAAAATCAACATGAGTTTTGGAGGGCATATTCCAACCATAATACATACTATTCAAAATTAAAATGACAAACTCCACTTGGTAATTATAGTAAACTTACGTTTACTTGCAAAATATTTACTGAGTCTAGTACAGTAAGAACACATTTTTCTTTTTTTCTGTTTTGAGATGGCGTTTCACTCTTGCTGCCCAGGCTGGAGTGCAATGGCGTGATCTTGGCTCACCGAAACCTCTGCCTCCTGGGTTCAAGGGCTTCTCCTGCCTCAGCCTCCCGAGTAGCTGGGATTACAGGCATGTGCCACCATACCTGGCTAAGTTTTGTATTTTTAGTAGAGACAGGGTTTCACCACATTGGCCAGGCTGGTCTCAAACTCCTGGTCTCAAGTGATTTGCCTGTCTCAGACTTCCAAACTGCTGGGATTTCAGGTGTGAGCTGCTGCGCCTGGCCACATTTTTATTTATTTACAGGCGTACGACAGTGTGGACCAGCTTCCGGCAGCACTACCATCTCTGCGTGCACCATTTCAACTGTTATCCCAGACTCGGTACAGCAATTTGTGTTTTGTGTCTTGGATATTTTTCATCAAACCCCTCCCAATAAACTTCTTATACATTTTGAAGCAATGGACCCAAACATCGAACAATTTGCAAGGATTGAACAGATGGCGCACGTTGTGTTTCGTCTGTATTGTGAAATTTATGAAGAACAAAAGAAACATACAGTTCAGACAAAGCTCACCATGTTTATGAAAAAACCAACTCCGGTAACCCCAACTGCTGCCTCAGATGACGACATCAACGATCCGCAGCCAAGCACTGGCGACCAATAAAATGTTTCATACATGTTTATATATTTTGATATGTTTTGCAATTGGGAAAATGTTTCCTATGGTATTTTTTACACCTGTATTTTGTAATTTTGTATGTTTTGCAAATATTAAACCAGTTGTACTGGTAATGCAGTGTTTTACTTAAATCTGACGAATGTAAAAATAAGAAACAAAATGGTGTAGAGATGATACAAATGGCGTAAAATGAACAAAGAAAATTATAATATATAACAATAATGAAAGAAAATTATGATAAAATATGACTTAAAGATTTTTATAACATCATTTCACAGTACTGTACATATAGCCTACTCAACTTATGACCAAATCGTGTTACGACCGGTCTGTCGGAACCAATCATGGTCGTAAGTCGAGCACTAGCTGTACTTTATTTACATTAAGGAAATCTCTGGCTTCACTAATGCTAGTGTAATGCATTAATAAGCATGCCTCTACCCCTAGAATTATGTTGGGCATTAAGAAGTAAAAGAAAAGGTTCTTGGCAGGGCAGAGTGGCTCATGCCTGTAATCCCAGCACTTTGGGAGGCTGAGGCAGGCAGATCATGAGGTCAGGAGATCGAGACCATCCTGGCTAACACAGTGAAACCTCATCTCTACTAAAAATACAAAAAATTAGCTGAGTGTGGTGGCACATGCCTGTAGTCCCAGCTACTTGGGAGGCTGAGGCAGAAGAATCACTTGAAACCAGGAGGCAGAAGTTGCAATGAGCTGAAATCATGCCACTGCACTCCAACCTGGGTGACAGAGCGAGACTCCATCTCAAAAAGGAGAAAAAGAAAGAAAAGGTTCTTGCCTTCAAGGAGCACATAACCTTGTTACAGAGACAGGTTCAGTAGAGTCTGATGTCCCTGGAAATGCTCAAATTTCCAAATACATGATTTGAATACATATACATTCCCAGCAATTTGCCTATGTTATCAAAGTGGAAAATGGCAGATGGTTTGCTTTTTAGACAACGCATAGTCAGCTGAGTACTCAATAATTCACAGACTCACAGCTGAGTACTCAATAATTCACAGACTCACGGCCACCTCACTCCTCAACTCCACCCCAACACATTCACACATGCACTTTTCAAGATTAAGGTGATTAAAACCTATATCTTAGAAAAGATTCATGTGCCTAAGTATCTGAGTTCCTTTTCATGACAAAACCAGAAAGTGCTCAATTTAGAAATACCAGATACCTAGTAAATGCATGGCCTGATAGATAACATATGGTGGTATACTTGCTTTAATATCAGCTAGAAAAAAATCACGAGACAGAACAGATAAAATTACTAAAGTTTGGTGGTGAAGACTGCAAGTGCACAGTTGGGCAAGGACCCAGCCAGTGAGAACAAAGATGTCCTGATGACGATGAAGGTGAGCTAGGGCTGGGATGATGAGGAAGATTCGGAGAGACAGAGAGGAGGAGAGGGGGCATGGGTTGGAAGAAAGGCATGAGGAGGCCAGGCACAGTGACTCATGCCTGTAATCTCAGCACTTTGGGAGGCCAAGGTAAGCAGATCATTTGAGGTCAGGAGTTCAAGACCAGCCTGGCCAACATGGTGAAACCCTGTCTCTACTAAAAATATAAAAATTAGCTGGGCATGGTGGTGTACATCTGTAATTCCAGCTACTTGGGAGGCTGAGGCAGGAACATT